CTCTTGAGCAAGTTAGTTAACCTGTGCTGTTTTCTCATAAGTAAAATTGGGATGAGAATAATACCGACCTCAGAGATTTCTTATAAGCATTCAGTGAATGAAGGCCTATAAATGCCTGTCACCTCCTATATGTGAAAGAAATCAGAGTTTGTGTTCTTATGTGGCCGCTTCCTACACCCAGTGTTCTACCTGTAGGTATCAGCCTAATTCCTTTGTGTAGCTGTAATTTCTTTTCATTGCTCTGGAGTATTCTGTTGTACGAATAGATCAATGCTTTCACCCATTCTACTTTTGATGGGCATTCGGGTTGGTGACACTTGGTGGCCACTGTGAACAATGCCACTATGAACATTTAAGGATATGTCTTCTGGTCCACGCAAGCATCTAATAAAGAGGGAATATGCTAATTGACCCTCACGCCATCACAAAGATGGCAGTGCCCACAGCCAATAAGGCAGGAATATGCTAATTGACTATCATGCCCTTGAAGATGGCGGTGCCCAGTCCCCTCAGCCCTGCTGAGGCGGTCACTTTGCATGCCTGCCTCTGGAGTCCCTCAGTCCCCCGACAACCCAGGGCGGGTCCAAGGCACAGGCAAGCTTTGGATGGCAGCTGCCCTGTTCATCTGGCATAATGTCAGCAACATAGTCTTCATGACTAAGCTTTATATTAGGAAATTTTGCAACCAAGGAGAGCAGATCTTCCCACCTTAGTATTCTCGCAAGTAGCTTAAGTCTTCATGTCCTTCTGCGGCTCCATAGACATTTTAGATTTTGCCAGACATTTTCCACAAAGCCTGATGGGATTGTTATTGGAATTCCATTGAATCCATGCTTCCATTGGGAGAAGATTGCCTCTTTACAGTATTGAGTCTTCAAGTCTGTGAACAGGATAATTTTCTCTCCGTTTACTTTATAACTTATCTTAATTTAATAATATCATACTATTCTCCCTAGGAGTCCTATCCATCTTTCTGTAGTATCTATTTTTATGTTTTCAAAAAGCAGTCTTTAGAATTTTTATTTGATTTATAACAATGATTTTGCTAAATTCTGATTAATTTATTCTTACCTTAGATCATTTTGGCCATTCTACCATATGCGGTTATTCCATCTGTAAATAGTGACTGTTTCCTTTCGATTCTTATGCATGTTATTTCTTTGTCTCTCACATACTGCACTGGCTGGGACCTCCAGGATATGGCTGAATATGAGTTGTTGGAGTGCTCATTTTGTATGTCAATGTTCAGAATCACAGGAATTGAATTCCAAGTGTGAACATGGTTTTACATTCCTCTGGTGTAATTTTTTACAAACCCAACTTCGTCCTGGTGTAGTTTGGGTTATTTTCATCTCTGTTCATTAGTGAGATTGCTCTTTCATTTTCTCATGCTGGCCTAATGTGTTTTTGTATCTATGTTAAGCTGGCTTCACAAAATGAATTGGAGACTGTTCGTGCTTTTTATTCATTTTATTTCTCCCTTAAAATGTTCAGCAGAACTTGTCAGATAATTCATTTTAGGCCTAAAATTTTTTATTCCAGAAGGTTTTTAATTACTGATTCAATTCCTTTAATCAGTAAAGAATGATTTCGGTTTTCCAATTCTTTTTGTGTCCCTTTTATGAGTTTTATTTTTCCTGGAATTTGTCCATTTCACATTTGTAGTATAGAGTTTCAATACCACCCTTAGAGTGTTTGCAGGATATGAAGTGTTAGCTCCTTTTTCATTCTCTTTAATTTTTATTTATTAATTAGAGAGAGAGAGAGAGAGAGAGAGAGAGAGAGAGAGAGAGAGAGAGAGAGAGTATCATGTGCCAGGTAGGGAGAGAGAGAAACATCAATTTGTTGTTCTACTTATTTATGCATTCATTGGTTGATTCTTGTATGCGCCCTAGCTGGGATTCAAACCCAAACCTTGGCGTATCAGGACAGCGCTCTAACCAACTGAGCTACTGGGCCAGGGCTCCTTTGCATTCTTAATATTGGCTTCTATATAGGTCTTCTCTGTTTTTTTAATCCATCTTGCTAAAGATTCACCATTTCGCAGGGAACAACTGTGAGCTTTCTTGTTCCTCCGAATGTGTTTGTTTTCCATTTCATTAATTTCTGTCATTTTTCCTTTAAATTTGTTTGAGTTTAATTTGATGATCTTTATATAACTTAAGGCGAATGGATGCTTAAGTTCATAATTTTCAGCCTTTCTTCTTTTCTAATATATGCATCTGCAACAGTAAATTTCCTCCTAAGTACTACTTTGTCTGTATTTTATAGGTTTTGATGTGTTTATGTTTGTTATTCAGTTTAAAAGATGTTCTCATTTTCTAATGATTTATTCTGAGATCTGTATGTTGTTCAGTTTCCAAACAGGGATTTTCTAGTTCCATCTCATTAATCTCTGCTCATTGCTATTTCCCTCTATCTTCATTGGATACAATTTGCTATTCTTTTAAATTTTTTCTCCTGATTGAATCTCACTAACTCTAGCTTTTTAATTTTTAGTATTTGACATCAACATTCATGATATTTTTGTTACTTCAACAATTTAAAGTTTTAAAGCAAATATATGGATGCAAGCTATTATGTAAATACTGTTTAGCTGCATTGTGAAGGGGTGTTTTGCGTGTTTTTTTGTTTGTTTGTTTGTTTGTTTTTTGTTTTTAACGTTTAGAACAGTTTTTAGTTTGGCTCAGTGGATAGAGCGTCAGCCTGTGGACTGAAGGGTCCTGGGTTTGATTCCAGTTAGGGGCACATGTCCAGGTTGTGGGCTTGATCCACCAGGAGGTCATGGTTTGATTCCTAGTCAGGGCACAGGCCTGGGTTACAGGCTGGATCCCCAGTGAGGGGTGTGCAGGAGGCAGCATTGGTGTTCTCTCATCATTGGTGTTCGTTCTCTCTCTCTCTCTCTCTCTCTCTCTCTCTCTCTCTCTCTCTCTCTCTCTCTCTCCTTCCCTTCCCTTCCCTTCCCTTCCCTTCCCTTCCCTTCCTCTCTCAGATCAATAGAAATATACACTGAGTGTCCAAATTCTTATGATCTCTGAACATCAATAAACATATATTTTTTTAAAAGCTAGAGAACTTAGTGGTTGTCCTATAAATTGCAGGATGCTTCCTAATTTATGTTCTTGTTGTTCAGTATTTTTATTTAAAATCAATCTTCTCCCTCTCTCAGGGTAGCTATTGTTTTATATGGCCTTTCTCTGCGGGGAGAGAGAGAAAGGGGTTGTTTAATGCCCCATTTATGTTAAATGAACAGGCACTGTTCATTTAGATTCCTCTACAGTCACAATGTATGCCTGTAGCCTAGGTGTGCAGTAGGCTGTGCTGTCTAGGTTTGTGTGATGTTTGAACAATTATGAAATTGCCCACCAACTATTTCTCAGAACATGCTCCCATCAAGTGGTGCGTGACTGGACAGATTCACCACATTTTATGTTTTTCGTGACTTGCTGCATCGCTGAGTTTTTACTGTATTTTTCTTCCACTTGCGGACTGCTCTTTTGTATTTTCTTTAGGGGCAGGTATGCTGGTGGCAAATTCTCTTGTTTCCTTTCCTTATCTGAAAGTATTTCTCAGGAGGTATTTGGTGAAAAAGGAATTTTAGGTTGGCAGCTATTTCGATGTAAGATTTCTTCCTACTACACTCTGTAGCTATAGCTTTCTTCTACCTTGCTTGATATTTATTGGGCTTCTTTAATAAGTGAGTTGGTATCTTTAATTATTTTGGGGTTATTATCAGGCCCTCTATTTTTAATATCGCATTTGCTTCATTTTCCTTTCACTTTTGAAATGTCAATAAAATATACACTGACCTTGTCACTAATCCTGTGTTTCTTTTGCTTCATATTTTCCTGGTTTTGTAGCCTGTGCTACTGAATAAATGAAGTGGATTTGAAAACACTTTATAAGCCTTAAAGTATGAAAATGTTAACCAACTATTAATGTTTGGATCATTTCATTATATATGTAATGATCTGGCAAAACTCTCATACACACACACACACACACACACACACACACACGTTTGTATGTAAGTGTTAACTGTTATGATATGGAGTATATGGGGCTGTTATAGAACTTAAGGGAAAGAAGGGCCTAATGTGGCTACCAATCATTTAGGGGCTTTGGGGAAAGGAGATTGGGAGTAGAGCCTTGAACTAGGTTAGGTTTTGAACTTGAGAAGCACTATATGCAGAAGCATATGGCCACAATAACAAGAGGCCGTACTGATGTGATAAGAAGTAGAGAACCATTTTAAGTTTGGGGTCAAGATAAGTGACACTGTGGCCCGAACACATCACTGTGTCAGAATATGTTTGTAGCAATTAACTTTGGTAACGAGTGTAAACAAAAATAAGTGGACAGAAATCGTACACCTGTGGATTAGGACAGTGTAGGGGAGGTAAGGGAAGAGGGTGGGATGGGAACCAGGTTGAAGGGAGCTATGGGGTGGGGGGAGGAACAACTGTAATAATCTGAACAATAAAGATTTATTAAATTTTAAAAAAACACAAAAATAAGTTACGGGTTAACTAATTATTTTTCCTTTTACAGTATATAGATTGACTTCCCATTTAGTATTGATAACTATGACTAAGTGGTTTAGAATTCTTGTTGTATTTTGAGAATATTTCATGACTTGACTAGCTATAGTTAATTTCAGAATTTTATTCAAAACTACGCCCGTAATCTCCAGATTGCCCTTTCCTGAGACTTCTCAGTGATAATCCAAAAACAATTTATAGTGAATTTCTCAGACCTTATTTAACGCTACCATTTTCTCGTTTTCCTGTTTTTTCCCCTGTAGATTTTCAATGTGAAGATGGTTATAGTGTCCTTTACAATTTATGTTTTTTTCCTTGAAAGAACAGAGAATTAACTAATTCATTACAATCAATCATTAGCTGTAAATCAACTAATCACTTAGTTCCAATGCATTCACTTTCAGTGTTTGTATCCTAGAATCTCCTCTTTCTGACATGCTTTTTCCCTTTTCTCTGCAGTATGGACGGAGCGGATCTGTGCTTTGAAATCGTAAAACGAGCTGATGCTGGTTTTGTATACAGTGAAGCTGTAGCCAGGTATGTAATTTGTATCAACTCCCCAGAGGTCAAAGTGAGTGTAAAAGAAAGAAATAAGCAAAAAACAACAACAAGAACTTGTATGAGGTGGCCTGTTCTTTGAACTGACGGTGAGCATGCTGCCACTCTTTCCTGCAAGGACATATGTGATTTATGTACATCAGTGGAACCAATTAATGACTGTACATGCAAAGGCTGAACAGTGAACTTATCTATTAACTAGAGGCCCAGTGCACGGATTTGTGCACTTGGTGGGGAGAATGGCCTGTGGGGATTGGCCCACTGTGGAAGCGCGGCTCATCTCAGTCAGCTGAGTGGCGCTCCCACAATGGGAGCACACTGACCACCAGGGGACAGCTCCTGCGTTGAACGTCTGCCCCCTCATGGTCAGTGCATGTCATAGCGACTGGTCAACTGGTCGTTCTGGTCGTTCCACCATTCTGTCACTGGGCTTATATATATATATATATATATGGATGAGTTTATAGTTTCACATCAGTACTGCCAAGTCTCCTATTTCTGATGTCTTTTTTCTTTCAGTTTTATTTTGTATTGGTTTCATATGGACAGTCATATACTGGGGTATTTCCAGTACCCACCTGGCATAGTTATTACACTATTAGTGACTGTATTTCCTATGCTGTACTTACTTCCCCATCACTATTTTGTAACTACTTATTTGTGCTTCTTAATCCCTTCACCTCTTTCACCCAGTCCCCCCACCCCCACCTCCGTCCCCTCTGATGACTTTTACACAAGGAGGGATTTGCTAGCTCAGGAATTAAACTTGGGCTTTTTGTTTGTATGTTTGATTTGGGGGTTTTGGCAGACATTTCTCATTAGTTATTCTGAGAAAAACCACAGAACAGTAGAAGGAACAGAAATAAAAGCACAATTTTTCTGTCGAATGTATTTGCTTGAGGCCAGTGTGTGTTGCTCCCAGTCAAATAGCAACCAGTGTTCTATGTGGAGAAGTTGTTGTAAAGAATCAATGGCTCAAAATAAGGAGTAAATATTAAAAAAATCACAGGAGCCATGCACTGGGCCACTTGCTTATAGATTTAGAGTAACAAGTTGTGTGCTTGGATGACAGTCATATGGTAAATACCACTTCGCTGGGTTGCCTTTTCAATGCATGTGGTCCCTGCATTAATAGGGGACAGCATCCCTCTTCAGGCAACAACCATAATATGCTGAAGGGCTCAAACCCATTAGGATTTTTAAAAACTTCCCACCATTTAAAAAACAGTTACCTTTAAATGATTATAACCCCCCCCCCTTGTTCTTTTTATAATTTTGGCATCATGGACAGATATAGCTGGAAACAGCTTAGACCAGCGATTTTCAACCAGCGTGCTGCCAGAATTTTTGAAACATGTAATACCTGACTCTTTCTTCGGGGGCACTGATATCTTTTCCCTTAGATTAGTGGTCAGCAAACTCATTAGTCAACAGAGCCAAATATCAACAGTATAATGATTGAAATTTCTTTGGAGAGCCAAATTTTTTAAACTTAAACTTCTTCTAATGCCACTTCTTCAAAATAGACTCACCCAGGCTGTGGTATTTTGTGGAAGAGCCACACTCAGGGGGCTAAAGAGCCACATGTGGCTTGCGAGCCGTGGTTTGCCAACCCCTGGGTTAGATGGTCAAATAAAAAAATGACAACAGCCAACACTATAGTAGCCATCCAGTGTGAATGAATCAAAATGATATGTATTTTTTGGTCACATCAGAAAAAAAAATGATTTATAGAAAGGGTAGTTTATACACATCAAGATGAAAGCCTGTTGGTTTTAAAATCTACCTGTGTTTGCTGTTGAAGTGAAGTCATGAAAAGAATCCTATATAATAAAAGCATAATATGCTAAGTTTCCTGTCGACTGGTTGGCCCTTCAACCAATCAAAGTATAATATGCTAATGATATGCTAAAGCCACTCAACTGCTCATTATGACGTGCACTGACCACCAGGGGGCAGATGCTCCAATCAGTAGGTCAACTTGCTGCTGGGGTCCGGCCATTCGGGGCTGAATGAGACAGACCAGACGCTCCCTGGAGCCCTCCAGTGTCCCTCCCATGCACCCATGGGGTCCCTTGGCCTGTCCTGTCCCTTGGGCGATGTTGGAGAGCCAGATTTGGCCTGATTCTGCAATTCCAGCCAAGGGACCCCCCAGGTGCATGAATTCATGCACCGGACCTCGAGTTTTTCATAATGGATCAGAAAAGAGTAGTTTGGGGACCAGCAATTGACACAGCAAAAAGAGAGGTTTCAACACAACTTATAAGAGCCCTTCCTAAAATGACATACGAGGTGGGGCAGCCTCAGAACATACTGTTAGGCATGTTCCCTGTCACAGAGGCTCCGTGACCAGGTAACAAGGGCACACAGGTCCTCCTCTGGTGACAGTGTTAAACGAGTCGACTTCTAGCCTGCCTTCTTCTTTGCTTCTGTGGCTCACGGTTGGGAAACTCGGCTCCATCAGTGAAACCAGCTGCAAGGCCGAGGCCCCGGGTCCTCAATCAATAGTGTTGTTTTTTTCTGACCCAGCTGGGCTTCGAGAGGAGCAGCAAAGCATGGCTGAAACCAAACTGTGCTCAGCCCTCACCACCCGATTAGCGGGTGCCTCTGCCTTGCAGGGGTGCTGGGTGCGGAGCCAGCTCTCACACAGGACCAGCTTATGAATCAGAGGCTCACAGATCAGAGAGCTCTCCTCCCTGAGCGCCAAGCTTTCCTCACCAATTAGACGTATCCGGGCCATCAGAGGCTCCAAGAAGCAGAGGTCTGGGCCTCCAGGGCCGTCACTCCTCGCTGCATCCCACAGGCCCTTGTGGCCCGGAAGGGATGAGGTCTCAGCGTGAGCTCTGGGGGCTCACACACAAAGAGGGGCGATTTCAATAGGAAGTCTCTCCATTGTCAACCCAGAGGGGGTGGGCTGAGGAGCTTCCATACCAGCTCCAAGGAGCCCGGGTTCTCTTCACCACGGTGACCCTTCAGGGCATCTCCCAGGCAAAGCACATTGATCTGGGCTTAACAAGGAGGTAGACTGAGTCGCCGCCCTTGTCTTCTTCCTCCATATCCCCCCCCAGTCCCCACATGCCCGCTCATAAAGGCAGCAAGCAGTTTGCTGGCCAGCCCTTTCCTTCCTTGGAGTTCTCTTCGTCCCTGACCCTCAAGGAAGATGGAGACAGACATATATTGCTGACTTCCTCTGCAAGTACAGGCCATCACGATGCTTTATGAACTGGAGCTCCTTGATTAAGTTTAATTAGGAACTCTCCAGAACATGTGGGTGGATTTCAGTTCTCTCTTTATTAGCATGTAGAGCCACCCCAGGTCATGACTGGGAGGGTGGGTGGAGAAAGATCAGTGTAAGTCTGTTTTCTCTGGGGAGAAAGCAATTCTACCCCATTCCCCATACACACCCCAGAGATTCTGATATGTATGATATTCAGATTTTAATATGCTCATTCAGTGAGGGTTTTTTTTTTAATGTTTTTATTAATTTCAAAGAGAGGAAGGAGGGAGAGACAGGGAGGAAGAGAAACAGAGAGAGAGAGAGAAATCAATGGTGAAAGAGAATCATTTGTCACTGGCTGCCTCCTGCATGCCCATGTACTGGGGATCAAGCCTGCAACCTGGGCATGTGCCCTGACCTGGAATCAATCTGTGATCTCCTGGGTCATGGGTCGATGCTCAACCACTGAGCCACGCCAGCTGGGCATAAGGTGTTTGTTTGTTTTTTAACGAGGCTTTGAGATAAGAATTTTCTTTAGGCTAAAGATATAAGCAGCTGTCTTAGTAATATATATTCAAAGTAGTCCATAGTGTAGTGTAAGCTGTGTCCATATTACCTCATTTCAACTCCCCCACTACTCCAGTGTTCACATCAAGGTACGCAAATATCCTATTTCTAAATCTTTGACTAAATCCTATTTAATAAAAGGCTAAAATGCAAACGACCGAATGGTGGAACAACCGGTCGCTATGATGTGCACTGACCACCAGGGGCGGACACTCAATGCAGGAGCTGCCCCCTGGTGGTCAGTGGCTCCCAAGAGAGAGCACTACTCAGCCACAAGTCGGGCTTAGGGCTGGCGAGCGCAGCGGTGGTGGCGGGAGCCTCTCCTGTCTCCATGGCCATGCTAAGGATGTCTGACTGATGGCTTAGGCCCACTGAGTAGTCAGAGGACATCCCCCCAGTGCTCCCGACTGTGAGAGGGCTCAGGCCAGGCTGAGGGCCCCCCACCAAGGGCACAAATTTCGTGCACCAGGCCTCTATTTTAATAATAATGATATGGTAATCATTGTGTCCTCACCTCTGCAGCATGGTTTAAAGTTTACAGAGCACTTTCATGTTTCTTGCTTCTGCCATTTTGAGGGGCCACAGCCCCTACAGAGCCTTATTTGAACCAGGAAAGGGCTACAACCCCAAGTTCAGAATTCCTAGCTCGAATGAAAACTTCAGCACAGGCTTCCCTGGCCCAGGCAAGAGCGTGTGACCACCACCCTTTAGTGTGCATTTGCAAAGTAAGAATAATGGGACATCTAAGCATGGGCCTGGCTCTCTGCTTAGAGCCAGCTGTGAGGAAACAATAAGTATAGGAACAGAGTCTGGGTTTGTTTTCCTACCTTTGCAAAAAGGGAACCTTCTGATCAGTTGCACTACATGAAATAACACAGATTCTAGATTGAGGGACATTCATGGATTTTGATTAGACAGTAGCAACCAAAGAGGGAACTCGATGGCAAAGTCTTTAAATCTAAAGCAGGAGTGGGGACATTTTGTTTGTCTTCAGTCACAAGCACACACACAAGGTCATGTCTGAGTATTGTTTTTTTAAAGGTTGGGGAATGTCAGAGCTGGAAAGACAGAATAAAATTCAATGAATACTATACAATAAATAATGTGAGTGTAGTGCATTTCTATGCCATGACTTGTTGGGGAAAGAAAAGGGGAAAATAAGACAGGATGGGGGATAATAGGCAAAACGAGAAAGATATGAAGGTAGTGAACTGCAGAGGAAGTGAAGATGAAAAGGACGCTCAGAAAGAACACGGGGACTAGAGAGCAATTTCAGAATGGAGGGGGGGAGTCAGATCCCTGCCTGCCTCTGTTCAGTGCTCCCCCGCTATCGGGGGGCACACCAGGACCAAATGCTCATATTCATGCTCCCAGTTCAACCGCAGCATCAAGTCTTCAGAACCAGTGCTCGCTTCCTTGCCATTAGTCCTGCCACACCTGTTGCTGAAGGACCCTGTCACCCACTTCTAAGGACCTTTCTGCCAAGTGCTGACACCTCCTGGGCCCAGGGGGCAAGGGGGCCTTAGCTGACCCCTGCTGGCCACTCGAGGAGTCTGACTCCCTGGGACGTAGGCCCAGTACAAAGCGCTTTGTTCAAGGATGTCCCAACCAAAGCGCTGTCACGCTGCAAAAAGTTGTCAGCAGAAGGCGGCTCTTCCTGTTGGTGTCCCTCGTTAGGGCTCAGCATTCTGGAGAAAGGGCTGCGCGTAGATGATTAAGAAGGAGTCCGGGGACGAAAGATAGTTTTGAAAGACATAGGGGGTCAGAGGAGCTTCCAGCTGAAGGAGCTAGAAGACTCTTCTTGTCTCAGGACCCTGTGATTTTATTAAACACAATTTGTCCTAAGGCAAGGTGGGAATATACAGTTCAAAGGGTAAAGTATCACAGTACAGAGCATTATCAGTTTAGGGAATAGGCTACCGCTGTTCAGGTGTTTGGCCAATAGGAGGCAATAAAATGCCCAGAGCTGTCTGGCAGTTAACAATCCTATTCAGGTTTGGGGGAAGTGCCGTTTAGCCATTTCCAACAGGTAAATTACATATGTGGCTCACCCTTATTGAGCTGCCCAAGTCCCATCAACCTTTTGGTAAAACTCTTGTAATTATTACATGCTGGAATTGGTTCTCGGCACTCTCCTCTGATGAAATTTTCCTTTAGAGCCAAATGGGAGTGAGGTTGAGAGCCCCCTACCCTCCAGTCAGAAAAAGGGAGAGGGAGAGAGAAACGAGAGAAACATCCATGATGAGAGAGAATCATGGATCGGCTGCCTCCTGCACGCCCCACTCTGGGGATCGAGCCTGCCACCCAGGCCTATGCCCTTGACCAGGAATCAAACCATGATCTCCTGGTTCATAGGGCAGTGTTCAACCACTGAGCCACGCCGGCCGGGCCTGAGCTTGAATTTTCATTTGCAAAGCTATTTTACTTCCAAACGATGTGAAATTCTCTTGACTTCACTATCTTAGAAAAGGTAGAACACATGATCTCTTCAGAAAGCCCCTAAACTCAGGGGTCTTCCAGCTTCTCATTATTAGGCCTCACATCCCAGCAGTCCTGTTGACTCAAACGCTAGGTGTCCGCGGGCACCGCCTATGAAGGTGGGAGTCACTATGTATGAAGTTTGAAAGATAAGTGTCTTACAGTTGTATGTTTGTTGTGTTTCTCTGCAGTCATTACATGAGACAGATCCTGGAAGCCCTGCGCTATTGTCATGACAATAACATCATTCACAGGGATGTGAAGGTAAGCGCTTTTCTTACCAGCCTTAATCTTTGTGAGGAGAAACGGACTTGAGTTTCTGATGATTTCTCTAATATTCTTAGTTAGCAGCTTTCTACCTATGGAATCACTGTACCAGTTCTTAAAGCAGCAGTTTTTATCATTCCCATGTCCTTCTTTTTGTTAAAATGCACATGCATTCTAAAATGTTATTCTTGCCCTGGCCAGTTTGGCTCAGTGGATAGGGTGTCAGCCTGCGGACTGGAGGATCCCAGATTCGATTCTGGTCAAGGGCACCTGCTTGGGTTGTGGGTTCAGTCCCCAGTTGGGGACAAGGTGGAGGAGTATGCAGACAGCAGCCAATCAGTGATTCTCTATCATTGATATTTTTATCTCTCCCTCTCTCTTCTTCTCAGAAATTAATAAAAAACTATATTTAAAAAATAATATTTTGTTATTCCTCTTTTGCTATCATGTATGTGTGAGAGGAATTAAAAAATCCAACAATAGAAATTAAATAATAATCGATGCTAAGTTAATTGGGGGGATGAGAATTTGGTTTATATAGTAAAAGTTCCTCACATCTGTAGTTTTGTCATGTAGAAAAGTCAGCATCTTATTTTCTTTGCGAATAGTTTTTCTAAAATAGTCCAATATCATAATTATAGATGTGACATGGTGCGCGCCCTTAGGAATGTGAATGTTGCCATTATTCAGTCTTTCTGACCCCCGTCACACGCTCATGAGAACGGTCAGTGCCTGGCTCCTCACATGCGGGAAAGGAGACCAGCAGCCCTTCCTCCTGGTCCCCAATCCCTCCCCAGGCCACCACTCAGAAGAGCCTTGGAGGTCTCTTTGGCCTTCTTGTCCACATTCAGTGCACTGGTGTTTTTCAAATACATTTGTATTGCCCTGACTGGTGTGGCTTAGTGGATAGAGCATCGGCCTGCGGACCGAAGGGTCCCAGGTTCGATTCCGGTCAAGGGCATGTACCTTGGTTGCAGGCGCATCCCCAGTGAGGGGTGTGCAGGAGGCAGCTGATCAGTGATTCTAACTCTCTATCCCTCTCCCTTCCTCTCTGTAAAAAAAAAAAAAAAAATCAATAAAATATTTTTTTAATAAATTTTTAAAAATACATTTGTATTGATTTCAGAGAGGAATGGAGAGGGAGAGAGAGAAACATCAGTAATGAGAGAGAATCATTGATCAGCTGCCTCCTGCTCGCCCCTGACCACCTGATTCATAGGTGGATGCTCAGCCATGGAGCCACGCGGGCTGGGCAGTGCCTGGTATTTGTCACCGGCCTCTCTCTAGCCCACGGCACCCACAGGCGTGGTGCTCTCCTTCTCTCAGGACGTATTGTCACAGGCCTGGCTTCTTCATGTATTTTAATGGTTAAGAAAATCAAATAGACGTAAATTTTCTACATAGTTTGGGAAATATTACTGAAACTCTTGTGGTTAAAAGCTGAGAAAAATCGTAAGCGATTCCAAAACAATGTAGAGGCATGTTATAATATCCAATGAAAAATCACGAGCCTGGCCAGTGTGGCCAGTGTGGCTCAGTGGTTGAACATCAGCGTATGAACCAAGAGGTTCAGTTCCTGATCAGGTCGCATGCCCAGGTTGTGGGCTCCATCCCCAGTGTGGGGCGTGCAGGAGGCAGCCAATCCATGATTCTTTCTCATCACTGATGTTTCTCTGCCTCCCTCTCCCTTCCTCTCTAACATCAATAAAAATACATTTTAAAAATCCAAGGATAACTTGGCTCTCTCATCAGCCCTTTGCATCCACAGATTTTTCAATCTACAGTTGGGGACCCGGTTGGGAGCGCAAACTGTTTACGATCCGTGGTATGTGAATCCCCTGATGTAAAACCTGTGGAAACAGAAGGACCAACTGTACTTATGGGGGGGGGGGGGGACGACCTACATAGAAGTGGATCCACGCAATTCAAACCTGTGTTGTTCAGGGTCAAGTGTACATGCTTTGTTGGTAACACATTGAATAGGCGCTCCAGGGTGGAAGCCAGCAAACAGGAGTGGACCAGAGCCCTAGCTGTGGGGGCGGTGAAAAGGTAGACTCCGGGCACATTTTCAAGGTCATGTCAATAGGATCTGCTAAAATAACTGCTGTTGGTAACTTAGGCCGAAGTGGTTTTATTCAGGACCTTGTCGTAGGGGTTTTCCAGTGGAGTGGTCACTATAAAACTTTCATAGCAATACATGTCACTTGGGTAATGAGTTCACATTTCACTTGATGTGTTAATATTTTTGCTAATAAAGCATCCTGTTTTTCTTCACATTCAGATACACACTAAGTGGCCAGATTATGATGATCTCTGAACACATAAAAATCTGACATGTGTGTGTGTTTGTGTGTATTAGAGGCCTGGTTCATGAATTTGTGCATGGGTAGGGTCCAGCCTGCCTGGCCAGGGAGAGGGGACATGGGCGGTTTGCTGGCCTGCCTGCTGGTCAAACTCTTGGTCAAGGGGACAATTTGCATATTAGCCTTTTATTTTATAGGACATACACTGAGTGGCCTGATTATTATGTGTTCAGAGATCATCCTCATCTGGCCACTCAGTATATAGCCAATGTCTTGAACGTGTGTAGATTTCATTTGTATGTAGATTTTGTCTTTTTGTAGTTAAAGTTGTCTTTTCTTATACTTTCATAAAGAAAAGAGAACAATGTTTCATTCCTTTGAGAAAATTCAGCTTATTTCATCACTTGCTACACCTAGCCAAGAATATTCTCAGCCTCTCCCCTTCCCCCTCCATCCCCCTCTCCCGCTACCCCCACCCCTTTTCATAATTCTTGGCACTGATCCCAAAGCACTAGGTTCCTCACATTTCATTGATGAATAATGCTACCTTTCTTAATTTAGTAGGCGTTTCTCTTTGAAATCATCATAACTGAGTACAATGTTTTCTTGTATCAAGTTAGATTTGACCTGATGATGTTGTGAGACCTATTGTGGACATAGCTTGCTCTGGAAAAGCAGTTTCACATGAATGTGGAGAGGGAACTGTATAAGCCTTGGAGGTTTCGGGAGGTGTGTTAACGAGGACAGGTCTCCCAGCAGCCACCCTCCTGACCCTGGGGCCTGGGCACTTTGCTGCTGGAGGCTGCCCAGTGTATTGTGCCTGTACCTGCCGATGCCAATAGCATTTCACCCAGTTACACAATCAGAAACGTCTCCAGACATTACCCAGTGCCCCTGGGCACAGAAACAGGCTTGGGTCACACACGTAATGTTATCTTGCCCATGGCTGGCCTCCCACAGGCATTTGTTAACACACTGGAGGCCCGGTGCACGAAATTCGTGCAAGAGTAGACCTTGCTTCCCTCTGGCACCCAGGACCTGGGCTTCCCTTGCAGCCCCAGCTTCGTCCAGAAGGTCATCTGGTCTAATTAGCATATTATGCTTTTATTATTATGGATGCATACAGAGTCCTTTTTACTGTCACCTTCTGTTGTATTCCTCTTTTTCCTGTAAAAGGATGTGAAAACTTTGTTTCAGTGTTTCTCTCTTTTCTCCCTCTCGCCCCTAAATTAAAAGTACATTAGAAAGAGCCCTAGCTTGTTTGGGTGGCTCAGTGGATAGAGCATCAGCCTATGGACCAAAGGGTCCTGGGTTCAATTCCGGTCAAGGGCACATGCCCGGGTTTAGGGCTCCTTCCCAGACGGCCCAGTAAGGGCTCGTGTAGGAGGCAACCAATCCATGTGTCTCTCTCACATCGATGTTTCTCTCTGTCTCTCTCTCTCTTCCACTCTCCCTAAAAATCAATGGGAAATATCCTCAGGTGAGGATGAACAAACATTTTCAGTTAAATGTCCAGGAAGAAATGGTCCAGTTGGCAAGGAGAATGCAGCCCTGGCCTCGCGCTGCCTGCAGTGCTGCGGCACTGAGGTTGGGGTCTCTGGTCCCTCTGGGCCTCTGCGAACAGCCTCCCAGGACACCTGCTGGGCATGGGGCCGCAAGCAGTCCTCGCCTCCTGTGGCTCCGACCAACTGGCTCCCAGTTCTAGTAACTGAAGTTGAAGGTCAGCTGCTTCTCTAAACGCAAACTACTGCGCACAGGCGCTTTCTATTCTGGGTGGGGCTTGTGTCCAGGAGGTGTGGGGGCTCAGTTGTGAGTTCTCAGAATTGGGCAGAAACCCCAGACACAGCAGAAGCCCCCACACCCAGCCCTACTCTGCACGCTTCCCTTAAATGGCTTTCCTCGCTCCCCCGTGGCCGCGCCTGGCTGCCCCTGGTCCCCTACCGGTCTCAGTTCTCCTTTCACCTGCTGCAGGCCAGACTTGATTGCGAGCAGGCGTTCACCCGCTCTGGTTGCCATGGCACTGTGAATTCTTCCAGTCGTTCTTCCTCTATTCTTCTCAGTTGCAGACATTTGTTTTCCATCCCTGACCACAGCTCCCAAAAAGCCCCAGGTTACAGAGAAAAGCACACTGGCTGCTGAGTGTAATCCGAGTGTGCTGAGCTGGAGTGTGGGGTTTTGATCATTGCACTTCAAAAAGGCTCACAAGCATCAAACTATCTTCAACTTACCTTGTATTTTTCTAATATATTTGTATTGATCTCAGAGAGAGGGGAAGAGAGAGAGAGAGAGAGAGAGAGAGAGAGAGAGAGAGAGAGAGAGAGAGAGAGAGAGAGAGAGAGAACATCAAGAATGAGAGAGACTCATGGATCGGCTGCCTCCTGCACACCCGCTACTGAGGATCACGCCCACAACCCAAGCATGTGCCGTTGACCGGGAATTGAACCTGTGACCCTTCAGTCCCTATGCTGACACTCTATTCACTGAGCCACTCCAGCTAGTTACCTAGTATTTCTAACAATCAGCTCCTTATTTGCAAAGAAAAGAAAGATTGTTTCTTTTGCTCACTGCTGTGTTTCTCCTGAGACAGGGGCAGCAAACATGGACAGTGCAGCCAAAGCTGCTTTTTCTGTCAGGTATATAGCCTTTCTCACTCAAGAACTCTTCCTTCCCTGTGATGTCACTTCAATTGGAAGT